TTATTTAAAGAAGAAAAATAAAAAATAAAGGCGTATTCGAATGTAGAGAAACAGTATTATTTATGCAACCGGAAAAGCATTAATACATGTGAAAAAGAACGCATAAAACTGTGACGTCACTATTGCTTATACATTAACTAATGACGTCATCTGCTGTGTTTTGAATAAAAAGAAATGAACTATTTCATTCAAATTTGATTTAGATCTACGTACACTATGAAATGTATACAATACAATTTTTTCCGGCCTTAACTCATAAAATTTATTTTATTTATTTGGATTCTAGATCTAGAGATTCTAGATCTAGACTAGATCTAAATCTACAAATCTACGCAATAACTAGATCTAGATCGAGACGTAGACGCTAAGATCTAGATCTAGATTTAGACTCTAACTTCTCTAGAATCTATTCCAAAAATAAATTTCTATATTAGGACTAAACTATTTCAAGACATAATTATTTTATACAAAGTCTTTGTTTGGAACTGGCTAATTTGGGATAAAAAAATTAATTTGAAAGAATAGGCATATTCGCGTATGTTAAGATTTTAAAATACGTCTTTTATTCTCCATGTTTTCTAAGGTGCCTATATAGCGGAGATGATAGTGTACTTAAACTCACGCAGGTGGTGTGGGTTCGAGACGCACCAAGTCAACTTAGTTAATCTATTTTTTTTTTTTATTTTGCTCGGGCTAAACTTAAAAAAAAATTCTATTAGGATTCTAGATCTAGATGATCTAGATCTACGGAGAAACTAGACTTACACAGATGTAGACCCTACCTAGATCTAGAATCTATTCAAACAATACATTTCTATACTAAAGTATTTCAGGCCTTAATTACTTTATTGAAATCTTTGTTTATCTATGCAATTTGCTAATCTCTATAATATATAAAGCAAAGTTGTCGGGTGTCCGATAGGGCACTTCCCGGCGCCGCAGGCGCTTCAAATTTGGCAGGATCTTGCCTTGGGGCGACAGAACACGAGGGCCGGTTGGCCGAAAAGTCTACGATGAGGGGGTCAAAACTGACCTCGACTGACCGGCGCCTTATATGAGCTATAAATCGAAAAAAAATGTCCACGGAGGAACCTCTTCATATCTCTTGAGGTCGTAGACCGACCCTCGGGCGAATTAATTAAGCATTCAAATTCTCAATGTTTTCGAAAGCCTAAGCGAAGCTGGGCAGCATGCCTAGTATATATATATAGGCCTATATATATTTATATATATATATATATATATATATATATATATATATATATATATATCAGGGATGTGACCAGACCAGGAGAAAAAATTAGGAAATTTTCTTTGGATAATAACTCAATATGTTTTATCTACTTTTTATCGCAGTTAAGCAGCTTCATACCACAGTTAAACAGCTTAATAGTACTGTTACTGTACTAATTAATTGTTTAATGAAGTTAATATTTTAAATACAAGAAGTTTATGTTACTCTAAAATAACGTTGAAAGTCTTGTCTAATTGCAATTTAATGTTTACCTTATAAACAACTTTTTAAACTTACAATGTAACAAAAGTAGCAATTAAGTTTTATTTTACCATTAAGCTAATTTAAACTGTACTAATCTAGTGTAGATTCTAGATGTACTCCTGTTTTCAATTTTAAATAGGGGGCCTAATGCCTTATATTCTTTTAAAGATTGGATTGGTAAAAATATTTGTCTTTAACTGTAAAGAGCATAGATTTAGATTAGTTATGATTTGAAAGTTTTAGGTTCATGTGATGGAAAAATGAAATGGACCAGGTTAGCTAAAATTAGAAAGGGTCTGACGTGTGTACCAAAGTTAATCATTTTGATAGCCAAGCCACATTGATATTTATGTTGTTGTTTTTTTTGGAATAGCTGTAAATTGTTAGGGGTCATCCACGTTTTTTGACGATATTTACCTCCCCTCTCTCCTACAAAAGCCAGACTCCCCCTCCCCCATATAATGACGTCACACCTCAGCCAACAAATGCTCCCCCCCCCCCCCTCCTCGAATTGAATTTATTTTTTAAACATCGATTTTTTTCTAAAATATTGACTGAGGTAGACCAACATAGGGTATTTTATTCAATCTCTATTATGTTTTACAACAGTTTTCCAAAACGCGTAATAGTGGCTAAAATGCAGTTGTTTCTAACATTACTTTTTAAAATACAAAAATATGACGTTACACTATCTTACTAGTGTGACGTTATTTATGGAAGACCCCTTATTAAAAATTTAAAAACAGTCTGTACGTATTTTTTCTTCCACAAACAAGACACGGTCTTATTCACGTTGAGTTCAGTATTTTTTTTAACATGTAGGCCTACGAAGCATACGCATTGCAGGAACAGCTATTTGAAATTGACTGTGACGTCATTTTTTTTTCACAAGCAGTACCGAACACGTACATGGGGTCAAGGTGAGGTCACAGGAGCCACCGTTACTACGAGGTGGGGCGGGTTAGTCTAGTCCTCATAGTCACCTTTTGCAAGGATTTCAATATTAATTTGAGATTGCGAAATAAAATAGAATCAGAGAGAACCTGTAGATTTAGGCGGGTTAAAATACCGTTAGATATATTAGGCTATACCAAATAGCTAGATCACCATGCTTAAGAGATTTAAGTTTCATTTTTTTTTCATTTGAATAACTGCATTATTTTAGATTACCTATTCCCGTGTTTTTGATAAATAGTTAACTAAATATATCAGCGGAAAATTTGGACTAAAAAATTGTGCTTTGAAAAATTCGTAAGTCCGCCGAAATTCCGAATCTTAATCTACATTTAATCTTGATCTAGCACCGACAGACCTAGCGCAATCGACCAATCGAAAAGAAATGCGCATATTCGAGTGTCCGTTTAAATTAAGTATAGTACAGTACAGTACATTTAAATTTAAATACGAATAAGTGGAATGAGCATGTCGGCCCTTTCGGTAGAAGACATTTCCGTTTTTTTTCCTAATTTTTAAGACTTCGTAAAAAAATCGACAAAAATTGAAAGTCGGCGGAAAAATTCGGCGGAAATTAAATCAGCGGAGGAAAATCGCAACTGAAACGGAAAAATCGGATTTCCGCTAAAATTCGGAAAAGTCACATCCCTGATATATATATAGGCCGCATTTGCGCGGTTCGCTCCGCGTTACGCGTAAGGCCGCCTTTGCGCAGTTCGCTTCGCGTTACGCTTAATCTTTACCTTAGGTGGCACACGATCTAAAAAAAAAAACAGATATCAGGACTGCCCGATTTTTTTTTTCGTGGTAACAATTTAATGTTGACATAGATCTAGATCGAGTTTAAGTGTATTTAGATCTCTACATTATTTCAACACCTAAGAGTCTAGTACTTGTAAAAAAAAACAGTACAGTGTAGTGTCAAGGAAAGTTTGTGAGGTCAGATGGGTCAGATGATAGTCCTAGACCTAGCAGCAACCTAGCTAAATCAAACTGTCCTTTAACCTTTAGGCCAAGCATGCGTGATAGTAGTAGATCTAAGTCTATATTATTTATCCTTTAAAAAAATTCAATTTGCTTGAGGGGGGAGGGGGGTTGGAGGAAGAAAGAAGTGAAGACAGACGATCTCGAGTGAACGTCTATGACGTATGCTTTAGGCCTGCTGAACTCAGTGACCTCGCCGACCGTGGGCCGTGGTGGGATTTTCCACTCACTGGATGGTAAATGTAAGGCAAGCAATCACGCCAGTGACGATGTTTGGAAATTTTATTAAAAAAAAAAAGAATCATAGTCTACGTCATATTTTCAATAGGAAAAAAAATGTAAAAAAAAAAAGAGTTAACCCCGGGTTCGAACTCTGAACTCCGGGTCTATGAACTTCAGACTACAGCTGGCACACTGTTGACTCAACCACAGTGGATGTGAAAGAGATGTCAAAAATAAGCATTTTCAATTGCAAGATGGCAAATCAAACCTGCGAGACGCGTAGTAGATCTATATTCTAGTTTTTCTCACTAAATCTAGAATTTACGCAATTATCAATTTAAACATGACCACTGAATAATAGACATCCATATTTAATCCATTAGGCACTAACTTTGGAGTTTTTAGTTCGTTTTAAACTAAATTACTTAATTTAATATTTATTGTCAATCACTGCCATGTCCAACACATCTCTCCATGACAACTCTTCTAACCCTTGAAGGTAAAGAAAACCACACATCAGGTTAGACTTTTTAAGTGGCCATGCACCCAGAGTTCCTCACTAGTAATCATCAAATAGCGGTCACGTGGTTTTTAAAAAATAAAAATAAATTGGTTGTGATACGGACGCCGGTCTTATAAAAAAACAGCTCACAATATTTGATTTCTTTTTTCATAGACTGATAAAACTAATAGTGCTTTACGTTCTCGCTCATTTCTGTACCTATACTGTTGATATTTTTAAAATTCTATTAATTTTAATGAAACCAACTTTTGAATTTAGCCTCCGTTCTCCAAACCAAATTTTAAAATGCTTTTCTGGCATATCTAACCCTGCCACCTATGGTTTGTTGTTATGACACGGAAATACCGCCATTTTGCGCGTGGTAAACATTTTTAAATGTAATTAGTTGAAGGTCTCTGGAATTTGGCAGAAAAATCGCCGGAAATCAAACGTCCGGTCCAGGCGCCATATTGTTGTTAGCAACCGACCACGCCTCCAAGTTAGCGAGAAATACTACTATATTCTTTAGGGGCCACGCTTAGCGAGACGCGTAGTCACTTCGTATTTATATATATATATAATCCTAAACAAATAGGCCTATACTATTGGCATAAAATTCATAAAAATGTTAGTGGCTCTTTAAAAACCGGATAATGTTGTAATTTGTAACTTTTGGCTCTTTTGTCTCAAAAGGTTACCGACCCCTGTACTAGGCCTAACTAGTAACTACTAGATCTAACTACTACTAGTAACTACAAACTAGTACTAGGAACTGTCACTCACTGGTCTAGTAAGGCAACAGCTTTCACTAATCAATTTTAATTTTTAAATCTTAGTCACCTCTGCTTGTGCTAGTTTTTTCTCCTTTTTAGTAGGGTCCATTGCATCAGTCAACCATTTGATTCCTAGGTAAGTTAGTGAAAAAGATGCTGCAACTCCTATGACGGTTGATACAACTTTGGCTATTAATTGGTTCCTACTAATTGTACTTTCCAACTCAGACATGACTATTTGGGGTTGAGAATTGCTAGCTTCTGATAATAAATTGGATGTGATTTCTTTAACACCTTTTGAAATATCGCCTATTATGTCGCTAAACTTCATTATTTTCTTAGAAAGTACAATGTTAAAACATGGTTAATCAAAGGGTTAGTCTAGTCGCCAAAAACCGAAAACAAAAGTAAATAACACACCATGCCAAAATAAATGAAGAAGTGCTGAACAAAATGCACAAAAGAGTTTCTTTATTTTTAAATTGTTGAAAAAAATACACGTTACGATAGCGATTTTCAAACTGGGAGAATCGCTTCCTGAACACTGGTGTGTACATTTTAAAAACCCTAGACGGCCCTAAAGAGTAGATGGGCATAATATTTAGGCATAATACAATATATAAATTCACTACTGTTGATGTGGCTAGATTTGATGGTATAAAGTCTAATTAGGCGTCGGTCGGTTGTTCATAAAAGATGCTACATTTTGGCTCACGACAAAAGGACCACTGACAATAGTGTTTTCGTAGGGACTAAGTCTTCCGAAAAAACGGTCACATTGATTATGACACCTGTCAGTGGGACCACTTCATCAATATTCTTTAGAGTTAGCTTATCCAACACTCTTAAGTAATACAACTAATGCATCTCTAGTTCGGTCTGCCTTATTTTTAGAATAGTTTATCTATTATAAGAAATAGTATGTTTTAATTTAAGGGTCATCTATCCATGACTTCCTTAAATGAGTCGGTTATATGCTGTTCCGTACCTCCAGTTTGCTTGTAGGGTATCAAAATAAAATGTTATCCTGTAAACATCTTGTTTATCACACATCTACAATCTACACTTCTGTGCTCGCTTTTAAGCAACAGATCTTTTATGCTGTAAATTAAACATTATCACACTTTTAGAATTGGTGGAATGTAGCTGTTAAGGGCTAGATTTGTTTGTGAATTGATGTTGGTTCATGAAAAACTATTTCATGCAAGCATTTAAAAAAGGTTAGTGGTAGTGGATGTAGGACAAAATGGTTGTTTTTATGCCAAAAGTGGTATTACGATTAATTTGTCTGGAGCCAATATGTCGGGAGTCATTTTGTCGGAAGCCAATATGTCGTGAGCCCTTTTGTCGGTAGCCAATATGTCGTGAGCCCTTATGTTGGAAGCCAATATGTCGTGAGCCGCTTTGTCTGGAGCCAATATGTCCTGGGCCTATTTGTCGGGAGCCAATATGTCGGGAGTCCATTTTTCGGTAGCCTAAATGTCGGCAGCCCATTTGTCGGGAGCCTATATGTCGCGAGTCAGTTTGACAGGAGCCCATTTGACGGGAGCCAATATTTCGGGGCCCTTTTGGCGGGGCTATTTTGACGGGGTCGTTTTGTCGAGGGTCGATTTGACGGGGTCATATTAACGGGGCCATTTTGACGGGGCCGATTTGTCCCGGGCCGTTTTGACAGGGCACTTATTTTATAGATTGCAATCTTCTTCTTCGTTCTTAATTTTTAGGGATCGAGCCTTATTCACCAGAGGGTTTGAACTTTTTTCGAATGTATCAACCGTGAGCTTTTACCGACTCGACCACGCCTCCATCACAATTAAGGATACGTGTCAACTGGTTATGCGCCATTGAGGCCATTGACTCCGATTTCAGCCTGCTTTTCTTTTTGGATTTGCTCCCATATCCTTTGTTCAACCAAGAGCAAACTACAAGTCTACATCTTTGGGCCTTTTCTTCGAAGTTGGGAAACAAGCTGCTCGTGGTACAATATGTTGCTTCAGATGTTGCTTCAGATGTCGTTTCAGATGTTGCTTCAGATGTTGCTTCAGATGTTGCTTCAGATGTTGCTTCAGGTGTTGCTTCAGGTGTTGCTTCAGGTGTTGCTTCAGGTGTTGCTTCAGATGTTGCTTCAGATGTTGCTTCAGGTGTTGCTTCAGGTGTTGCTTCAGGTGTTGCTTCAGGTGTTGCTTCAGGTGTTGCTTCAGATGTTGCTTCAGATGTTGCTTCAGATGTTGAGATGTTGCTTCAGATGTTGCTTCAGGTGTTGCTTCAGGTGTTGCTTCAGGTGTTGCTTCAGGTGTTGCTTCAGATGTTGCTTCAGATGTTGCTTCAGATGTTGCTTTAGATATTGCTTCAGATATTGTTAATATACAACTATTCCTTAAGAAGAGAGTCACATCCTAAGGACAATTTCAGGCACAGCGAGACCTGGACAAAGGACCATTACAGACGGCTTGCAATATCCGCAAGTTCAAGTTAAGTTAATCAAGATTTCACAATTTCCCATCTAACATTTTCCAAAGAGGCTAGTAACATAATTTAAATTTAATGAGGGAAGAAAGATCTCTATTTACAATCTCATTAGCTACGGCTTAAGGCAAGCTGGGTATAATTTAATCATTGTGTTTTAACCAACACATCCACTTGTAACCAACACATCCACTTGTAACCAACACATCCACTTTTATCTGTTTATATCCATGTTCTATGGAGGTTATCCGTTTATATACATGTTCTATGGAGGTTATATGTTTATATCCATGTTCTACTGAGATGATCTGTTTATATCCATGTTCTAGGGGAAGTTATTTGGTTATACCCATGAATTTTTAGAATGAAATTGGACTGATGTTTTTCTGCTGCACATTTTCATGCCACTATCAGAATAAATTACATACTTAACGATTATATTATGGTGTTTTTGGGTCTGGTAAGTAGGTCACCAACCAGCCCTACGGCTCAATAAAACCTGCATGAGCCATAGAACTGTTTATTGACCTACTTACCAGCCCTATAGCCCGTCATCCTAGTGGGCCATTAAAAGATAGGACTCCGCGGACTGTTTACAAAACAAAAACATCAACAGTAGGTTGATGGCGTTCCTGGAACATCACGCCACTATGGAGAGCACGACAGCAACTTGATCCACATGACAGATAGATAGATAGATAGATAGATAGATAGATAGATAGATAGATAGATAGATAGATAGATAGATAGATAGATAGATAGATAGATAGATAGATAGATAGATAGATAGATAGATAGATAGATAGATAGATAGATAGATAGATAGATAGATAGATAGATAGATAGATAGATAGATAGATAGATAGATAGATAGATAGATAGATAGATAGATAGATAGATAGATAGATAGATAGATAGATAGATAGATAGATAGATAGATAGATAGGTATGTAGGTAGGTAGGTAGGTAGGTAGGTAGGTAGGTAGGTAGGTAGGTAGGTAGGTAGGTAGGTAGGTAGGTAGGTAGGTAGGTAGGTAGGTAGACAGGCAGGCAGGCAGACAGACAGACAGACAGATAGATAGATAGATAGATAGATAGATAGATAGATAGATAGATAGATAGATAGATAGATAGATAGATAGATAGATAGATAGATAGATAGATAGATAGATAGATAGATAGATAGATAGATAGATAGATAGGTGATTGCCACATTAATTACCCCCAAAAAACAGCGTAAGGGCCCCCAGTCTTATAATGTCCACCACCTGCGGGGAGATCTGTTATTACCTTAGTTCTTGTTAAATTGAACGTCAATATACTTATCATAAATCTCGTGATTCTACTTGTCCGGCTACTTAACCCAATCAACCCAAGCTAATACACCGTCTAACCCAATCAACCCAAGCTAATACACCGTCTTACCCAATCAACCCAAGCTAATACACTAACGTCTAATTCGTTGGGCGTGGCTTGTGTGAGCACAGCCCTGGAGGCCGAACGTCTCGAGACAAACAGATTCTCTGGCTAACAGATTCTCTGACTAACAGTTTCTCTGGCAAACAGATTCTCTGGCTAACAGATTCTCTGGCTAACAGCTTTGGCATTCGTATAAAAGCGGGAAGCTCCAGATTTCTAACACGTGTCACAATGGTCAGAACCAGCGCCATTGTTTACATGCTTGCTAACTGTGTCGTCATCGCCGACTCCCTTCCTTCACCGCCGGAGGTAAAAGTCCATTTCTTTACTGACTTGACCACTGACTTGACCACTGACTCGACCACTTACAGCCCCCCCCCCCCCAAGGACCTCTCTGTAAAAAAAAAAGTTACAGTCATAATACCACTGTTACTTATTAAAATCTATTTCTGAAGCAGTATACAGGTATAATTGTATATGTATGTTTAGAACAGTCATCTAAAAACTGACTCTATGTTCACCTTGAGTTGGTAAATCCCACCCCCCCCCCCCCACCTCACCACCACAATTGTATAGAGCGACATTAATGTCACGCCTAAAGTAGCTGGACAATGGTGAATGAAGTTGAACCAACCCCTCCCCCATCCTACCCCGAACTGATCTGTTAAGTACATTTGGGAAAACGCTTAATGAGGTACCAAAGTACAATGCAGCCAGAATCATAGCTTTTGAAACAGGTAAAATTCTGTAAATATTGTTTTTGCAATTACCAGTAAAAAGGTGTGTGAACAATACAGTGATCAACCCATACGTTATCATTATGTTACAAAAAATGATCTTTTAGAACACAAAAAAACAGTAGCTAATTTTAAAAAATGAATTATCGGAACCGCATGACCAGTAATTTATATATGTGTACTCTTATATACAGATTGCTCCACCTATTAGATTTCTATTTTCTTGTGGAATGAAATGTTTTATTTATACCAACTCGGATTTGAAAAACTTTCATTATGCTGTAATATTTTAGCATTTATGATAACAATATATTTAATTCTGATTGATTGTAGACAACATATTTTTGTAAAAACGAATAGTGTTAAGCTACTTCATTACATATTGAAGTAATAATTATTATTGATCTGTTTTGACATTTACAATGAAATTTGTAGAAATATACATAGATATATTAAGAGAGTGATTATTTCCCCTAGTTTAATTATGTCAAATAAGGATTACAAAACAAATTGTGTTGCGTTGGTTGTTTTTGGTGGTATTGTTTGTATATTTTTTTAAAGTATTAAATTGTTTTGTTTTGTCGACCTACATTGTGTGTTTTTTTTTTTAATTTCTTCAGAGTACTAATTTTAATTTATTTTACATCATAGCGAAGCAATGACGTACAGTTAGTATATTTTTTCCCCAAAAATTTGACCCCCCCCTCCCCATGAGACGATCCTGGCTACGCCACTGAGTGTAATCGACACTTTCTGTGTGGTTTAATTATATAAGGCTGCGCTCCGGACGAGGGCACTGCCCCCACCCCCACCCCTAATATATGCATGAAAGAAACTCTGCTGGCTTTGTTTTTAAGTTTCAAAACTTTTCGTTTTAAAAATTTGCTTCCATTGCCTTTGTCCATACAAAAACAAATACCAAGAGCATTTGTTTTGAAGTGGATTGTAATGACTGACGAGAAGCCGCGTTGGTTGTTAACAGTCTTTATTATGTACAGACGCCATGTTGCAAAGAGAGGAAGAGAGAGAGCAAGTGGCCAGAGACCACTATATATAGATAACAACATGTAAGGGACATCACTCAAGATAACAATATAAATATAATACTAATACAGAGAGTGAGTTCCCTTGACCTCACAATTATTTCAATCTATTACATCCCTTTACCCTTAGAACACAATAACACATCTCTCAATAGAACAATTGATAGTATCCTAAAATCACCAATTATATTGTAACATGAACATTATGGTAGATTACATCCTTACAAACAATGCACAATATGCCACAACATAATCAAAATACAAAACAATAATGTCAAAGTCTTTTTGACCTTTAGAATCATAGGTCTAACTTATTTGGGACTTTGATTGTCCTGCTTGACCTTCTCAGTGGCTTCTGATTTGGTGACTCAAGATTCTGACCATCTGGATTCTCTATCTCAGGAGGTCTAGGATTTAAATCATTAACTCCAGAATTTACATTTTCTGACTCTAGACAACTTGATTCACTCATATCAACAGAACTTGGTTGTGGAACAACTGAGTTGGTGTGAACTGATCAGACTTGGTGGGATTGACAGATTCACACTTATTATCTGCACAAGTTATTTTTAACTGGTCTGCATGTCTACGGACAATAAGTCCATCATTTGTTTTTACTTTATAAGACACAGGTCCTGTACTTTGAACAATTTGACCTGGAATCCATTTTTCCTTTCTCCCATAATTTCTTAGATACACATTATCATTAACTGCAAATTCTCTTTCAATGGATGATTTGTCATGATTTACTTTTTGTGTATGTTGATGTTGGGAAACAGACCTTTGAACAGTTGGATGTAGTAGGTCAAGATGAGTTTTAATTTTCCTACCACATAGCAATTCACATGGTGCAACACCTGTTGTTATATGAGGAGTTGTGCGGTATTTGGTTAAGAACCTGTTTACTCTTTCTCTAAGAGAAAACTTGTTACCGGTATTCATTTTTACCATAGCGGTTTTGAATATGCCTACCGCTCTTTCAGCTAAACCATTCCCAGCAGGATGATAGGGGGATGTGGTTATATGCTCAATACCATTTGCCACACAAAACAGTTTAAACTCATGAGCTGTGAAACTAGGCCCATTATCTGAAACAATTTGCTCTGGTAATCCATGAGTTGAAAATATTTCCTTAAGTTCTATAATGGTATCATTTGCAGTGATTGTGTTCATGAAAGGTCCTGCGAAATCTATATGTATACGTTTCCATGGTTCAATTGGCCAGTCCCAGTTTTGCAAAGGTGCTGTAGCTGGTTGATTTGAATGTTGTGCACAGCTTGAACAAAGTTTTACATATTTTTCAATATCAGCATCCATATGTGGCCACCAGAACCATGATCTTGCTAGACTCTTCATTTTGGAAGAACCAAGATGAGTATCATGTAAAGTTCTTAAAACTTCTTTTTGTAACATTTTGGGGATAATTACTCTTGACCCCCATAGTATACATCCATCTTCTAGACTTAACTCTGTTTTTCTTATTTTATATGGCTTTAAGTCCTCATTCACTGACTCTTCAGGCCAACCATTCTTACAGTACTCATATACTTTTATTAAGCACTCATCTTTTTGTGTTTCTCTCTTAATATCATTCACATTTATATTGGAGTTATCCATGATAGTGAAGAGAACAAAAACATCTTCTGGTATATAGCTCAGGCTTTGGTTTTTTAAAGGTAATCTACTAAGACTATCTGCACTATTCTCAGATCCAGGTTTGTATTTCAATTCATAATTGTATGCAGTTAGTGTGATAGCCCATCTTTGAATTCTTGGTGAGGCATGCTCAGGTAGGGTTTTGTTTTCTCCAAATAAACCTAGCAATGGTTTATGATCTGTAAAGATGGTGAACTTCCTACCAAACAGAAACTTATGAAATTTCTTAACACCAAAAATGATGCCTAAGCCTTCCCTATCTAACTGAGAATAATTTTTCTCAGCCTGATTCAAAGATCTACTGGCAAAAGCAATGGGTCTGTCACCCTTCTCATCCATGTGGGACAAGACTGCTCCTACACCATCTGGTGAAGCATCACATGTTAATATAAGTCTTTTCCCTGGGTCATAGTGAGTTAGTAAGGTGTCAGCAGACAAAGCCTCTTTTGCTGTGTTAAAAGCAGCTTCTTGTTGTTTACCCCAGTGCCAAGTTGCATTTTTCTGTAGCAGCTTGTACAGTGGTGATAGTTTACCAGACAGATTTCCCATGAACCTTGCATAGTAATTTATCAAGCCCAAAAAAGCTCTTAGTTGTTGGGTATTTTCAGGTTTGGGTGCTTCTTTAATGGCTTTTGTTTTCTCAGGTTGAGGTCTGATGCCTTGTTTGCTTAATATATAACCAAGAAAACTAATTTCTGTCAGCATGAATTGACATTTATCTTTGTTTATCTTTAAACCTTTTTCACCAACAATTTTCAAGACTTTATCTAGTGTTTTAAGATGTTCAGTGTCATTCTTACCAGTTATGTACACATTGTCAAAGTACACACAAACATTTGGAATGTCCTTAAAAATACTGTCCATGACAGCTTGGAAAATTCCAGGGCTAGATGATATGCCAAAACATAGTCTTTCATATTGGTAGAGTCCTTTATGTGTGTTTATTGTCGTATAGACTTTTGAATCTGGATGCAGTTCTAGTTGAGTGTAAGCATGACTAAAGTCTAATTCAGTGAATTTGTCTCCTCCTGCCAAATTCAAAGAAATTTCCTCAATGTTAGGTATAGGGTACCTATTTAGCTCTATTTGCTTATTCAGTGTGGTTTTATAATCTCCACAAATTCTTATAGAACCATCCTTCTTTAACACTGGCACAATGGGTGTCGCCCAATCGGAATAGTCTACCTTCTTTATGATGCCATTAGATTCCAATCTACTTAGCTCATTTTCAATTTTATTCCTCATTGCATAAGGTGGAACTCTAGCTTTGCAGTATCTTGGATTTGTATCTTTAATGCTTAACTTCACTGTTCTATCATTTAGTAATCCAGAGTTACCAAAAACACATTTATTTTCAGATATTACTTTATCTAGTGAGGTAAGACTAGATTCTTTTACATTCTTCAATGAACAAATACTCTCCCAATTTAACTTAAGATCACTTAACCAGTTCCTACCTAGTAATGGCGGTCCATTTCCTTCAACCACAAGAAGAGGAAGTTTAACACTTTGACCATTATAACTTACATGAACCATACACTCTCCTATTACCGGAACATTGTCACCAGTGTATGTTGTTAGACACTTGTGACATGGCTGTAGAGGCACTGATCCTCCTGTGACAGCGTCAAACTCTTTCTTTGTTATGACTGTTAGAGATGCTCCAGTGTCAAGTTGGAAGCTGATGCTCTTACCGTTGATATTAACTTGTACATTGATGGGAGCATGACTTATTGATTTCACAGACAACAGGTTGAAATCCGGCTGCGAATCAGTTTGAGCATTTTCACTGGTAGAGTGGTTCATTGGTTGGGTTAGGTAGTCTTGGTGAGAGTTAACATAGTGCTGCTTTTGATTGCGGTACTGTCTTGACTGGCTAGATTTAGCAACAGACGAAGACTTTGCAAAGCAGGCCTTGGCAATGTGACCTTGCTTACCGCACTTATAACAAGTTGCAGACTTGAACTTGCACCGATGAGATGCATGGGGACCTTTGCATCGATGACATTTTTGATAATTATTACTAGATTTAGATCTAGGATTTGAACGAGCAGGCTGTTTAGCATAAGTTGAAATGCTCTGATGGGGTTGGTGTTTATTGACTAACCTGCTGTTTACTGCATGGATCCCTGAAGGCGTTAGAGATTTCGCCGCATCTGATGACTGCTGGTATGAAGTTGCAAGTTGTATTGCTTTTTCCAATTTTAGATCTGACTCGAGCAGCAACTTTCTTTGAATATCAGGGCTGTTTACACCTGTCACAAACTTTTCACATAGTCTGTCAGACAGCGTATCGCCGAATTCACAAAATCTACTTAAATGACGTAAAGCAGCAACATATTCTGTTATTGACTCGTTTGGTTGACGAGTCCTACTGTCAAATCTAGCTCTACATAAAAACTTTGATGGGGTAGGCGCATGGTGGTCTGTTAGCAATTTGCTCAGCTCGTTAAAGCTCTTGGTATCTGGACTAGCTGGTGCGCATAAGTCCTTTAGTAGCCTAAATTGTTGAGGCCCTATGACTGTTAACAAAACAGCTCTCTTTTTGGCTTCTATCGTCACGTTGTTTGCTTCTAGGTAAAAGCTTAACCTCTCTAGGTAATCTTGAATGATTTCATCATTCGCATCAAATTCTTTTATTTGGCCATACAGCGCCATAATTCTAGAAATAATTAGCTAATAAGCTCTAGCAAACCTCTTTTTTGCGTAAGTAGGTGCTCTTTCTAGTAGATGTTTATCCTTCGTCGCCAAATGACGTGGATTGTAATGACTGACGAGAAGCCGCGTTGGTTGTTAACAGTCTTTATTATGTACAGACGCCATGTTGCAAAGAGAGGAAGAGAGAGAGCAAGTGGCCAGAGACCACTATATATAGATAACAACATGTAAGGGACATCACTCAAGATAACAATATAAATATAATACTAATACAGAGAGTGAGTTCCCTTGACCTCACAATTATTTCAATCTATTACATGTTTGATTTTTTAAATATTTCTCTACTGGATGGTTGTCCCAAGCCATAGGGCCTCTTCTTCGCGCGGGTTCGAACTCGGGACGTTTCGTTTTAGCAGCCATGAGCATTACCGACCCAAACAATCTTACTCTGGTTATATTTTGCAAAACGTAATGTTTATTTCTGATAAAATGTTTTATTCCGATGATATTTTTGTCATCTCTACCCACCCACGGGACCCCCCCCCCCCCTCCTCACTTCCTTAGGCTGCGAGCAGTTGGTCTAACGCCACAGACGGCAATGCTGGACTGTCAAGAAGCTCCACCATAAGGTACGCTATTTTAAAACTTTAATTCTAATGAGTTCTTTCAAACAAAACTGTATGAACACTGTATAAACATGCATGGCAGTGGTCGTGATTTTTAAACCCAACTCAACAGTAAACTACACTCGGCAGATTTACTTATAACTAGCGACCCCGTCCCCGCACTTTGCTGCTGTCTAAAAAGAAAAGCTTACTCAATACTTAAAGTGAAATTTCACCAATCGTGCATTTTTAGACGCAAGACCTTGTTTTCTAGAACTGAGTTATTTAAATGTAAGCAAATCAGGCGCTTTATTTTTTGCACTCGATTCGAGTTAGTGAACTATTACAGTAGCCTATCACATCCAAAGCGTGTCGCACTCTTTAAAACGAATGTAAGGGCCATAGTGCTCACGGGGGAGCCCAAGACGTCTACCGGGGCGCCGTCCTGCAAATTTTTTTTCCCCCGCAAACAAAAACTCCTCACAAGTATTATCAACAACTTCAGAGGCGATCGAATGAATAATATCTCGAATAGTATGCATCCTTTAATTAGTATATATATATATATATATATATATATATATATATATATATATATATATATATATATATATATATATATATATATATATATATATAATTCATTCATTCAATTAATTAATTAATTTATTTATTAATTTATTTATACATAATATTGACAAGTTAAAGGAGTTTATAGGTATAGATTATGTCAAATAAACGAGTCAAAATATGAGGGTTAATGACCTCCATAACACACGTATTATAACTTTTGCTTGAGCATTGGATTAGTAGTTAATCACATCCTTTGATTAGTGCCAATGGTTCCATGACAAATGATCTCAGGACAAATGATCTCAGACAAAATATCTCAGACAAAATATCTCACGGACAAATGATCTCAGGACAAATGATCTCAGGACAAATGATCTCAAGGACAAATGATCTCAAGGACAAAAGATACCAGGACAAAATATATCAGGACAAATGATATCATGGACAAATGATCTCAGACAAAATATCTCAGACAAAATATCTCACAGCAAAATGTTGATAGTATGTACAATGATTTTAGTTTATTTGAACTTTTTTTTAAAATTGACTGTCAATATGGTTTTATTTACTTTCTTTACGCATAATAATTGTGAATAAAATGAATTTGTTAAACTTAACAAACCATCAAAAGATTTATTTAACTTAATCTTTGTAATGGCCTTTGATTTGAAAAAAATAAAAATTAAAACAAACTTTCTCTTTTAGCCTGAAAGGTATGATAAATGATAATGTATAAAACAAAATAACGGAAGCTATACAACAATAATGTTTAAAACATGCGAAATATCTTTCAAAAATGTTAATGGGTCTCTAGGTTCGTAACGTAAAATTATTGTTTTTATTGCATGATCGACACAAACATAACGTTTATGTTTCTTTGCTGACAGTACATCGTTATGATCACACCTCTCCAATACTATGTGATCATGTATTGTGTGAACTCTTGCTCGACATGTTCTAACTCCGCGATGACCGCTGTTTGTCTTAAATAAGCATTTGTCACCTGATCACTAAGGTGTGATCGACGCATAACTATTGAATTTAGCTATTAGTTGTATTGTTCATGGAGGGCGGATGTCTTTCCCTTAAGGCATGTCTCTACCATCAAAGTGGGCTGCCACCTTGATACGAAGGTGTTTCTCTATTGTTATTTCATCCTCTAGTTTCGTTCACCTGACATGGTTGGATTGTCTCATGTTTGGCAAGCCCGCCTTCGCTGTCTATCGAACAATTTCTTTAATCTTCTATAGTAATAATCCTAATTTTAAAATGCAATATACAATTTAAAAGTGCAATATGATAAATTTATACGGCAAACATTTCTTACAATTATCATATGGGCCTATAAACAATATTAAACATATTAAACAAAACCATACAACAGTTAATAAAAATTGTTCAGATCAACTAAAGTCACCCAATACACTATTAAAATTTAGGTGTGAGTTTTGTCTGAGATCAATTGTCCGTGGTATCATTTGTCCTGATATATTTTGTCCTGGTATCTTTTTTCCTGGTATCTTTTGTCCGTGAGATCATTTGTCCTTGAGATCATTTGTCCTGAGATCATTTGTCCTGAGATCATTTGTCAGTGAGATATTTTGTCTGAGATAATTTGTCTGAGATCATTTGTCCTGTCACCGTGCCAATTAGTGGCCAAAACTGAACGGTTTTATTTTTTCAAGTATACACCGGTTCAATACAAGCATTTGAACAGACTGATTAAGACAGATCTAGTTTTTAACTCAATGTTTGTCTTCTATTTAAAAAAACCATCAAGCACCAAGTCAGCGATCCTGCCAGCGCCTCCAACGACGGCACACTCGCAGACCCCAGTATCGTTCAATCCGCCAGAGCCGAAGGAGAGGTTGAGTCTGACGATCAGGTCAATATACCGCCAGTACCCCCCGTACCCCCCAGCACCAATAATAATCATTAAAAAAGTTTTTAAAAAGCCACGTTTTCTGATTGAACTAAAAAGTAGAAAATAAATACTATACATCACAATAATGCAAGCGATCACTCTACTATAAGCGATGAAAAACGTGGGGCGCCGAAGTAAAAGTTATATTACTATTGATTAGATAATACTATTGACTTTTATTAGGGAGCTTGTAGAGAGTCAACAGTATTAGAAACTGTAAGAAAATCACGGCGCCCCACGTTTTTGATCGCTTATAGTAGAGTGATCGCTTGCATTATTGTGATGTATAGTATTTATTTTCTACTTTTTAGTTCAATCAGAAAACGTGTTTTTTTTTTAAACTTTTTTAATGATTATTATTTTCTACTTTTTAGTCTTTGTCTGTTTGTTTGCATTAAAATCTTGCTATCGATTTTATCTTTTCACTTTTTTTGGGGTAAACGAAGACAACTCGTAAAAAGACAACTCGTAAAAAACACGTTGTGTGAATACGTTACTGACTAGAACACATAGATTTGAACCCGTGTCGAGTGGGATAGCAATCGTGTACCCAACCACTCGACCATATCGTCTCCCCCATACTGGCCACCAGTTGTTACCACCGCGTGAACACTACTCAGTAAAAAGAGGGAAAGTACCGAACCTCGTTTTCATCAAATTACAGTTACTGGGTTATGTCCCCTTTTCCCCACGTTTACTACAATTATATAGCGGTCTAAAATGCTCAATAAAATGTTTCCATGGATCAATTTAGTAATAATAACAATTGAATATTCTATTGTCATCCAAAACAAAGCTTCCCTGAAAATTTCAGCGCGCTAGCTAACTGGAAAGTTCCAGAAATTTCGATCGCAAGATTTGATTGGAGAACCGGACGCGAAAGCAAGTTAAAGAAAACGTGGGAAAAAAGCAGTGCAAGCGATGTAAACCGAGTCGTGTATCTTATCAAGCCTTTGATACGTGAACAAAAAATTACCAAAGTAGAGAAACCGAAGCTGAAATCTATGAAATACTTGAAAAAAGGTTGGTTTTGTTAAACGCTGAAGCAGCTATATTATCTCAGTTAGATTATTTCAGCTAGATTATCTCAGCTAGATTATCTCAGCTAGCTTAGGTTTGCTTTTTTTTCTGCGCGTTAATGTTTGTGTTTATGTTTTCGTTTATAATTGCGTTTGCGTTGTTTCCGTTTATGTTTCCGTTTGCGTTATTGTTGAAGTCTATGTTTGCGTTTAAGTTTGTGTTTACTTTCGCGTTTAAGTTTGTTTAATTTTTTTTATAAGTTTGTGTTTATGTTTATGTTTATGTTAGTGTTTGCATTTATTTTTTGCATTATTATTTGTGTTTGCGTTTATGTGTGCGTTTAGGTAGGCCTATGTGTTTAAGATTGTGTTTGTGTTTGCGTGTATGCTTATGTTTGCGTTTATTTCATGGTTTATGTTTCCGTCTAAGATTGCGTTTATGTTTAAGTTTGCTTTAATGCTTATGTTTGCGTTTGTGTTTGTGATTATATTTTCACAAACGATCCATTTATATATTGACCGTTTAATACATTTTTTATAAATTCCCAAACACCGGGGAGCGCAGGGTATATGCTGTGTAACGCGCACATAAGTCACGGTCTTTTGCAAATATCTTTTACCTCAATTGCCAGTGGAGGGCCTGGCAAGTACGGCCATATATATATATATATATATATATATATATATATATATATATATATATATATATATATATATATATATATATATATGTTACCGAGTCTATTTGCTTGTAGTGCCAAATGTTACCGATTTCACTGCTGACAGAGCCAAGTGTTACCGAGTGTATTTACTCGTGCTACCTTTGACCAGCACACAACATCGACCACAATATAGATACTCGGAAATGCAGGTTTACATTGATCTCTTTATTACATGAATCAATAGAAATGCTCCACATAAAAATGCATCAATGTTCCACAAGAATACAATGAACCAACTGACCCCCACTGTCCTCACTAGTCCTCACATAACAGAATGCACGTGTCCATAATTCCTATCCTCACAACTAACCACACGTCTACACAGTTCAGTCTCCTACTTGATACTGCCCGGTTCTCAACTGTCGCCTTCCTATTTTATCTCCTCGTATTCGTAATCGTATTCGTAATCGTATTCGTAATCGATTCTAATCGTTGCATCAGAATATTAATTGCGCAGCTCTGTCGTACAGTCCGATTATTAGACCACCTGCACTGTTGCGTCAGCCCAGTTTGGCCTTGGTCATGTCAAAGTTGACAGACTGTAATGCGTTCTTATCAATAGTATGGTAACTACCCTAGTTACATATATATATATATATATATATATATATATATATATATATATATATATATATATATATATATGTATATATATGTGTGTGTGTGTGTGTGTGTCTGTGTGTGTGTGTATGTATGTGTGTGTGTGTATGTGTGACAATTGTAACGATAGAGTGTAGGGCCAAGTCAACTATGACCCATCTTTATAGACGTTGAAGCTGAGTGTTTGCATGTAACATTTTGTAGCATGATTGTAGCATCCAACATTTTGTACCATAATTGTTGCATCTAACAGTTTGTACCATAACTGTTGCATCCAACATTTTGTACCATGATTGTAGCATCCAACATTTTGTACCATAATTGTTGCATCCAACATTTTGTACCATAATTGTTGCATCCAACATTTTGTACCATAATTGTTGCATCCAACATTTTGTACCATAATTGTTGCATCCAACATTTTGTACCATAATTGTTGCATCCAACATTTTGTACCATAATTGTAGCATCCAACATTTCCTGACAGATCAAACACGTGCGTGTGTGGCCAATGCGTCCATGCTATTCCGACGTGACTTGGCTATTCATAGAGTGGTTGGCGGGACCATCAGTAAGTACGGCTCCCACCCCTGGCAGGTCGGCATGTGGAAACATGTGGGTGGGGACCGCTACGCCCGACACTGTGGGGGTGCCATTATAAGCGAGTATTGGTTTCTCACGGCCGCACATTGCATTGAGTGAGTATTCAATTTCTCCTGCAGGCCTACTGCTCTGAATCACCTACTGTTCATAATGACTAACTCACTGTTATAACTCATTATTTCAACTATGTGATCATGGGGATTTAGGTAGACAAATACGGTTAGCTTTTATATCATGCGGCTCTTTCAGTATCTAAAATATAAAAGTAAACATCGAATCATGCAGTGCTTTAAAAATTGCATCGCATTGTATTATTTTCAGTAAGTAAGTAGAGTTTGTTTATATAACGACTTAACCCTTTGAGCCCTGGCCTCCCTGGCCTAATTTCTCCTATTTCCTGAGCTCCCAGGGCCAAACCAATTTTCACTTATCTACTTCTAACTTTGCCTATAACTTTTGAACTGTTTGAGATAATCAAGCCACATTTGGTATCAAGACTCAGGATCAAACAACCATGCAGAACGATTCTGAAATTCTTTATTTTTTTTACAATATATGAACAGAACAATGTATATAAAACGAACACATAATTATTGTTTTGATAGAACATAGAAGAAACCAATTTACATTTAGTAATTGTTTTGTTATTATTGATACCTGGCCATACTAGTTTATCGCCAGAAGTCCACTTTTGTGTGATAACTTTCAAAGCAGTTATCACTGCCGGACCCGGTGCAAAGAAAAATTTCGCATGTTTTGCACCATTTAACAGTTGTTTTTTTTAGTTTCGACAAGTCTTTGTCCTTGGCACCACGTGCATCAGAACGTACTTGAACAGTTTTCATTGTCATTGTCAATTTCAATGTCACTGTATTCAGTCTCAAATTCAACGTCACTATCATCACAATTTAGATCAGCAATATTATCTTCTTCATCAGAATCAATAAGTAGTTGTATTGTCTGAGATGAAGTCATTCTACTTCTTTTATTGATATTTCGATCTTTTGCTTCATCTTTTGCACCAACTTTATGTGCTGAAGTCGATGGCTGTGGCTCAGTTTTTCGTTTCGGCGGCATTGCTACGAAATGTAAACACTTTCACTTTTCCTAAAATCTAATTTTAGAATCTTAATCCCGCACTAAAAAGACATATGCGAAGTTTTAGTCAGTCTTCCGCTAATTATATTTAATTAGACAGTATACCGACCGCTAGGAATATGACGCTAGATCATCGGGCCGGAAAATCGGCTTTTCGGACATATATGCCTAATGTTGAAGCCGGTTTACCGGCCCGGCGGGCTCAAAGGGTTAAATTTATTGTATAGTTGCTACAGTTTTTACACTTTCGCATAACGTGAAGTAAATTATTTGTTGGAATAATATAATTAGCATGGATTGATAAAGAACAATATTGTAGGTAAACACGGATATTTTAAATACTGACTTTTTTATACAGTGAACGTACTGTTCACTAATTATTATTAATCAATAACAGTTTAGAAGCCACTCCTAAATGTCCCGTATGTTTACTTTTATCTTTCGGTTTGCGGACAAGCTGGGGTTTTTATAGTCGTTCACTAAATTGAATCAGGCGCGTCCGCCGGCGCCCGGGCAGGGTTAGATTTTGCGCGATGGGCTATACTGTGAGCGCTGTGGGTTTGTGTGTTGCTTTGCATTGTGTTTGTTTTCTTTCGTGTGAAAAATGACTTTTCTGTGAACAATAGAATATAAAAGAAAAAAAGATTACCTCAAACCAACCTACGTGGAACAACTTTGAATAATCTCTCTCTCTCTCTCTCTCTCTCTCTCTATATATATATATATATATATATATATATATATATATATATATATATATATATATATATATATATATATATATATAATTTTCTACGTGGGGACCATGCGAGACACCACCACGTAACGCTAAGCCGTTCCTACCCCGCTCTCTAAGCATATCGCTACCACCTCACCCCACCAGTCTGGTGAGCTATGGTTCACCTCGAAGTTTTACAATCGTAAAGCTGGGTCAAATCAGTGACGGCTATTAGGGGCAGATAATTAAGTTTTTAAACGATTTTAAACAAAGGGGAAATAATAAAAAGTTCTGTTTGATTTTTTCCCATTTCGACTGTAAACTGTAGTCTCTGACAGCTGCTTTCAAGGGGGCATGCGGGGAGGGAGGGTGAGGATAGTCGTCCTTCACGAGCTAATGATAGTGCTTTAAAGCAAAATATTTTCATTTGCAACATTGGTAGTGTCGAAGTGGAAAATAAAACAACTAAATAGCGGCGTATGCTTACGGCGCGAGTCAGCTAGTTAATTAATATTAAAATACTAGATCTAGCACGTTGATTAGCAAAAGGTCAATTAGTTGAGCGAGATGCTGTCTAATCGTTTACCGATACACAAGCATTGCCGTATTGTTTTATGAAAATCTATATATATATAATTCTCTTCTGGGATCAGTTAGAAAACAAGCTGCAAGCGCGCCTTTGCAGTCCCCTCTTCCTCTCTATCAATACCACCCCCACCCCCACATGATCTGGTGAGCGGTGTTCACTCTGTTTACATGTTACAATCATAGAGACGGGTTTGGTGACGGCTATTAGGGGCAGATAATTTAGTTTGAAACGATTTTAAACTTAGAGGAGGTAACTAAGAGGAGGCTGCTTTCACGTGGGGGGGGAAGGGGGTTTAGTGTTTTTAAGCAAATATTTTCAGTGGCAGCATTGGTACTGTCGAATTCACAAATTATAAATTACTGAAAAGTAGAAAAAAAAAACAACTAAATAGCGGCGTATGATACGCAGCGGGTCGGCTCGTAAAAGATATTAGGCTAAAATGGCGAAACGTACAGGAGGATAATATTCCACAACAAAATCCATTTCGTGAGGAGTACAGATCAAGGATGCCCCTGTTGCACTCAAAATATTACAACAACAGTGCCTTTAAAATCCTGATTATTTTTAACCTTTCGTTTCATATTGTATCAATTTTGCTACAAAGTGAAATAACCCTCAATGAATCTACACACATGTTAAAATCTGAGTTTTAGTATACCTTACTCTAGCTTGATCACTTTTGTGCCAATTCATAAAGAGGTAGTGAACTCTCCTAAACGTTCTCGAATATTCTTATGTAACACAAGATTTGTAATCAATTTTAAATACTTAAAAGAATTGCTAACGATGTGTGTATAACAGTGCGGAACATTAGTACTTTATAAATAAAACATTTTATTTTTATTTTCAAAGAGTTAATTTATCATCTAATTAAGTAACATTTTATGTAAAAATACATTGTCTTCAAGTCTTGACCGACGTGGAAAGTTTAAATAACTCAGTTCGGTAGAAGTTTTCGAAATTTTGCTCGCAATTTTCCGACGATGACAGACAAAAGATAAAGGAATCAATTTAAAAATAAATTCATTAGGTTTTTTTAGAAATCGGAAATAGCATAAAGTACTAGTTTCGGTCAACGGAAATACTCAAAATTTCCTAGAAAACAAAAAATATTTTACTTATATGTGAAATTTCGTTGATCTGTATGAAACAGTATTCCAGTTAAAGACTTTTGAAAAAGCAAAAGTAGAATATGGGCCACGTCCGGTTACCGGAAATCGCCGATTAAATAATACAGAACTACAAATTTGATGCAATTCTTATCTGAAATTTCATCAACCTAGCTGTAACGGTACTCAAGTTATGGTGTTCACATACATACACAGACACACATACATAGACATATGGACAAAATTGCAAAACTATGTTTTTCCGACTAAGGCAGGTGTAAAACATCGCGATTTGTGAATCGTATACGAGAAAGTAATAAACCGGGAGTGATCTCCCCTAAACTTTCTCGAATATTCTTATATAAAACAACAGGGGATGGAACTCCATTTTAAATACTTAAAGTTTTTAAAATAGAATAGAATCTCATTGAAAAAAGAATTGCACGCCAAGTGAACGCCAAATGAAATGTGCATAATAGTGCGCAATATTATTAGTACTTTATAAATTTACATGCGTTTTTTTGAGAAATCGGAAATAGCGTAAATTAGTACTTCCGGTCAACGGAAATTACTCAAAATTTGACAGAAAGTAGAAAATTAGATCTTTTACTTACATGTGAAATTACATTTATCTATCTGAAATAGTACTTAAGTTATAGGCTTTTGAAAAATTCAAAGTAGAAAAAGTACCACTTCCGGTTATCGGAAATCGCTCAAAAATTGATACGGATCTACGATTTTGATAAACTACTTATATATGAAATTTCACCAACCTAGCTGTAACGGTACTCAAGTTATCGTGTTTACACACACACACAGACATACGGACAATATTGCAAAATTATGTTTTTCCGTATCAGTGAGGTGTAAAACATCGAGATTTGTAAAAATCTCAAATTATTTTTGCACGATTACAAGACTTTCTCTATACTTCGTATATACGAGAAAGTAAAAATGTAAAGCATGTTTCACTTCCTTTCTTAGTAATGTAGCCGGTGAGCAAAGAAGTTCAGGCATTTTTTCATTGATTGCATGGGTTAACCTATAATGCTGCTTGTCTAACCGGTAGGAGGTGATGACAGCATTGTTTGCACGAGTTTGATATCTTGAAACAAAAATTGAAATAAGCTTGTGATTCAAACATAAAACAGTGGCTTTTATAGTACAACCAACAATTGCGGTGTAAAGAGAAATTTCTTTTATAGTACAACCAACAATTGCGGTGTAAAGAGAAATTTCTTTTATAGTAAAACCAACAATTGCGGTGTAAAGAGAAATTTCTTTTATAGTACAACCAACAATTGCGGTGTAAAGAGAAATTTCTTTTATAGTACAACCAACAATTGCGGTGTAAAGAGAAATTTCTTTTATAGTACAACCAACAATTGCGGTGTAAAGAGAAATTTCTTTTATAGTACAACCAACAATTGCGGTGTAAAGAGAAATTTCTTTTATAGTACAACCAACAATTGCGGTGTAAAGAGAAATTTCTTTTATAGTACAACCAACAATTGCGGTGTAAAGAGAAATTTCTTTTATAGTAAAACCAACAATTGCGGTGTAAAGAGAAATTTCTTTTATAGTACAACCAACAATTGCGGTGTAAAGAGAAATTTCTTTTATAGTAAAACCAACAATTGCGGTGTAAAGAGAAATTTCTTTTATAGTAAAACCAACAATTGCGGTGTAAAGAGAAATTTCTTTTATAGTAAAACCAACAATTGCGGTGTAAAGAGAAATTTCTTTTATAGTACAACCAACAATTGCGGTGTAAAGAGAAATTTCTTTTATAGTACAACCAACAATTGCGGTGTAAAGAGAAATTTCTTTTATAGTACAACCAACAATTGCGGTGTAAAGAGAAATTTCTTTTATAGTACAACCAACAATTGCGGTGTAAAGAGAAATTTCTTTTATAGTACAACCAACAATTGCGGTGTAAAGAGAAATTTCTTTTATAGTACAACCAACAATTGCGGTGTAAAGAGAAATTTCTTTTATAGTACAACCAACAATTGCGGTGTAAAGAGAAATTTCTTTTATAGTACAACCAACAATTGCGGTGTAAAGAGAAATTTCTTTTATAGTACAACCAACAATTGCGGTGTAAAGAGAAATTTCTTTTATAGTACAACCAACAATTGCGGTGTAAAGAGAAATTTCTTTTATAGTACAACCAACAATTGCGGTGTAAAGAGAAATTTCTTTTATAGTACAACCAACAATTGCGGTGTAAAGAGAAATTTCTTTTATAGTACAACCAACAATTGCGGTGTAAAGAGAAATTTCTTTTATAGTACAACCAACAATTGCGGTGTAAAGAGAAATTTCTTTTATAGTACAACCAACAATTGCGGTGTAAAGAGAAATTTCTTTTATAGTACAACCAACAATTGCGGTGTAAAGAGAAATTTCTTTTATAGTACAACCAACAATTGCGGTGTAAAGAGAAATTTCTTTTATAGTACAACCAACAATTGCGGTGTAAAGAGAAATTTCTTTTATAGTACAACCAACAATTGCGGTGTAAAGAGAAATTTCTTTTATAGTACAACCAACAATTGCGGTGTAAAGAGAAATTTCTTTTATAGTACAACCAACAATTGCGGTGTAAAGAGAAATTTCTTTTATAGTACAACCAACAATTGCGGTGTAAAGAGAAATTTCTTTTATAGTACAACCAACAATTGCGGTGTAAAGAGAAATTTCTTTTATAGTACAACCAACAATTGCGGTGAAAAGAGAAATTTCTTTTATAGTACAACCAACAATTGCGGTGTAAAGAGAAATTTCTTTTATAGTACAACCAACAATTGCGGTGTAAAGAGAAATTTCTTTTATAGTACAACCAACAATTGCGGTGTAAAGAGAAATTTCTTTTATAGTACAACCAACAATTGCGGTGTAAAGAGAAATTTCTTTTATAGTACAACCAACAATTGCGGTGTAAAGAGAAATTTCTTTTATAGTACAACCAACAATTGCGGTGTAAAGAGAAATTTCTTTTATAGTACAACCAACAATTGCGGTGTAAAGAGAAATTTCTTTTATAGTACAACCAACAATTGCGGTGTAAAGAGAAATTTCTTTTATAGTACAACCAACAATTGCGGTGTAAAGAGAAATTTCTTTTATAGTACAACCAACAATTGCGGTGTAAAGAGAAATTTCTTTTATAGTACAACCAACAATTGCGGTGTAAAGAGAAATTTCTTTTATAGTACAACCAACAATTGCGGTGTAAAGAGAAATTTCTTTTATAGTACAACCAACAATTGCGGTGTAAAGAGAAATTTCTTTTATAGTACAACCAACAATTGCGGTGTAAAGAGAAATTTCTTTTATAGTACAACCAACAATTGCGGTGTAAAGAGAAATTTCTTTTATAGTACAACCAACAATTGCGGTGTAAAGAGAAATTTCTTTTATAGTACAACCAACAATTGCGGTGTAAAGAGAAATTTCTTTTATAGTACAACCAACAATTGCGGTGTAAAGAGAAATTTCTTTTATAGTACAACCAACAATTGCGGTGTAAAGAGAAATTTCTTTTATAGTACAACCAACAATTGCGGTGTAAAGAGAAATTTCTTTTATAGTACAACCAACAATTGCGGTGTAAAGAGAAATTTCTTTTATAGTACAACCAACAATTGCGGTGTAAAGAGAAATTTCTTTTATAGTACAACCAACAATTGCGGTGTAAAGAGAAATTTCTTTTATAGTACAACCAACAATTGCGGTGTAAAGAGAAATTTCTTTTATAGTACAACCAACAATTGCGGTGTAAAGAGAAATTTCTTTTATAGTACAACCAACAATTGCGGTGTAAAGAGAAATTTCTTTTATAGTACAACCAACAATTGCGGTGTAAAGAGAAATTTCTTTTATAGTACAACCAACAATTGCGGTGTAAAGAGAAATTTCTTTTATAGTACAACCAACAATTGCGGTGTAAAGAGAAATTTCTTTTATAGTACAACCAACAATTGCGGTGTAAAGAGAAATTTCTTTTATAGTACAACCAACAATTGCGGTGTAAAGAGAAATTTCTTTTATAGTACAACCAACAATTGCGGTGTAAAGAGAAATTTCTTTTATAGTACAACCAACAATTGCGGTGTAAAGAGAAATTTCTTTTATAGTAAAACCAACAATTGCGGTGTAAAGAGAAATTTCTTTTATAGTACAACCAACAATTGCGGTGTAAAGAGAAATTTACTATTTTGTTAGAGAAAAATCGGGGGCCACTGACTGCTGCCCATTCAGCCCCCCCCCCCCCCTTTCCACCGAATCCGCCCCTGGACAAATCTCTTTCAGGACCTAATCACAAGCTTATACAGACTAATCTCTTTCAATGTTTAAATGTTTAAATTTGAGCCAATGTTTTCAGCAAAAACTCAAGCTTTAAAATTGTGGTCGGTGACCACGATTATGATAAGAAAGACAAGGCGGAATCCACATTTGAAATAGAGAGAGCTTTTGCACACCAAGATTTCGGAAGTAAGTATCAATCACTGATATTAATCTACGATCAGCAAGTAAATCATTCAATGAAACTGTCGTTCGATCGACTTCACACCCAGTCACTCAGACAGTCAATCACTTAGTCACCCAGACAGTCACACAGAAAGTCAGTCACTCAGACAGTCAATCACTTAGTCACCCAGACAGTCACACAGACAGTCACACAGACAGTCAGTCACTCAGACAGTCAACCTCAACCACTTAGTCACCCAGACAGTAATCCAGACAGTCAGTCGCCCAGACAGTCAGTCACTCAGACAGTCTACGTCGCTGTGGCGGAACTAGAAAAAATGGGCCACCCAGCAACATTTTTTTTGGGCCCCCATATATGTATATATATATATATATATATATATATATATATATATATATATATATATATATATATATATATATATATATATATATATATATATATATATATATATATATATATATATATATATATATATATATATATATATATATATACACACAATACGAACATAGGATACTCATTTCTGGCCTGATCGGGGTTTGAAAAAAAAAATTCAATTAAATCTAATCACAACAACATGTCATGTGTGTCATGTATGTGAGTGCATTGGTCTGTTTTGAAAATCTGTTTTATTATAAGTTTGACTTAATACTTCTAATCAATAAGTCTGTCAAAAGTGTATAAATCATGAAGCTTTCTATAAGTAATGGTTATGTTTATTTTTATGTTTATTTTTGTATTTATATTATTAATTTTAACTACATTTCATTATTATACTATACCATTCTTTAGTACTTACTTAAAAATAAAATAATTGGTTTTTAATTTGATTATTACAAATCTATTAAAAGGAGCTTATGAGCGGCCCTATTAGGCTATTTGAAAAAGGGAAATAATTTATGGAAGTGGTTTGAACGTTTGCCTATCTTTCACTTTCACACTACAGCTCCTGTGTATACTTTTTTTTTTAATTTTTACGTAACAGCATGTCTTAGTTACTATATAATATCACTACTGTATTATATCTGTTATCTGATTGTTATTTACAAAACCACTATCAAGGTGCCAGTGACGAAACTAATATATATATATATATATATATATATATATATATATATATATATATATATATATATATATATATATATATATATATATATATCACGCTATCATTCGTGTATTTATTTGAGACGTTTGCCTTGTTTTCTGGAACAGTGGTTATTAAATGTAAACAATGTCGGCACTTTATTTCTTGGATATTAGTTGTTGGAGCGCTAGTTTGTCTACACTACCACCGATACGAGCCAGCTTAGCTGTTGAAGCGCTAGTTTGTCAACACTACCACCGATTCGAGCCAGCTTTGTTGTTGGAGCGCTAGTTTGTCAACACTACCACCGATTCGAGCCAGCTTTGTTGTTGGAGCGCTAGTTTGTCTACACTACCACCGATACGAGCCAGCTTAGTTGTTGAGGCGCTAGTTTGTCAACACTACCACCGATTCGAGCCAGCTTTGTTGTTGGAGCGCTAGTTTGTCTACACTACCACCGATACGAGCCAGCTTAGTTGTTGAGGCGCTATCTATTCGCTTCTCGTAAGGCTAAGAGCGGGAGGGGAGGTCTGAGAAAGGAACTTAAAAGGAACAACAAAGCACCGATTTGCTTTTATCCATCAGTACCAAATTTGGGATGGTCTCAAAAAGCCGTCTTAATATCTAGCGGCCTCTCGCGCAATTGATGTTTTTTCAAAAGAATTTTGCAGACAACAGCGTGTGTTTGATTGTAATTGTAGGAAAAAGAATATACAAGAGCGTGGGATGGTGTCTATAGAATAAAGATACTCCAACCGCAGCTACAGTATTCTTTTTTCAAAACAACCATCAGGTCAAAAATGCAAGAAAATTAATTTTAACTTAAAAAAAAATGATTATGGGCGGCTGTGGACCCCCTAAACGACCCCCCCCCCCCCCTTCCCGCATTGCGGGGTCTGACGGCACTGTAGTTCCGCCCCTGCTACGTTGACTAACATTGTCCTAGTATATGAAGTAAGGCTGTGTCCACAGACATGAACTTTCTCCCAATATTTTTTTTTTCGTTCTTAAAGGAATTGTTGGAGGGGATTTTTACCAACACATTCATGTGTTACGTATCAGTCACTCAAGCCGTTGACTCCGATTTCATTCAACTTTATCAACAGACTTTGACTACGACTTTATCCTACTTTATCAACAGACTTTGCCTACAACTTTATCCTACTTTATCAACAGACTTTGCCTACAACTTTGTCCTACTTTATCAACAGACTTTGCCTACAACTTTGTCCTACTTTATCAACAGACTTTGCCTACAACTTTGTCCTACTTTATCAACAGACTTTGACTACGACTTTGTCTAACTTTATCAACAGACTTTGATTACGACTTTGCACTTGTCCGCGTGATGCCAGTAGACGGACGTGGATTCCAGTTCAACAAATACGTGTCACCTGTATGTCTACCAAACGTCACTCAGAAATACACGCCCGGACAGAGGTGCTACATCTCAGGGATGGGGGCCAATACATATTTCGGTAAAATTTTAGGAAAATCTTGTTTTTCATTCGGCAAATTAACTCAATGCATGGGTCAAGGGAGAATTTTAAAAAAAAAATTCTAGTCACTGTTTTAAAGGCTGTTAGAAACAAATTACGACGAAAAAAAATGATTTTGGTGATTTTTTTCTGAGCATATCCCCTTAAACAGATTGTTTAAATAGATGTAATTGTTAAACAGATTGTTTAAAAAGATGTAATTGTTAAACAGATTGTTTAAATAGATGTAATTGTTAAACAGATTGTTTAAATAGATGTAATTGTAAAACAGATTGTTTAAATAGATGTAATTGTTAAACAGAGGCAGGTAGCAGTCCCGTCACAACGTTCCCGTGGTACCAACAGGAGGCAGTGGTTCCTCTATTAGACAATAAAAAATGCCAAGAGATTCTCAAACGAGGAAATCACCCAATGAAGTTAACTTCAAGGATGACATGCGCAGGTGACCTGCGCGGTGATATCGATGCGTGTGTGGGTGATAGTGGTGGACCTTTAGTTTGTGAAAACAAAGGTAGGTCTTGTGGTTGTCATCTTTCAATAATAGGTCTTTGATTCTAGTGACCTGTCCACGTCAGCTCATTATTTTGCCCATACAGAAAAGAATTATATGCACAGGCGAAATTGTTTTAATAAGTATCTTAACTAATTGAATGTTGACCTCTTCTTGTCCACGTATTGTCATGTTGACCACTTCTTGTCCAGCTATTGTCATGTTGACCACTTCTTGTCCAGGTATTGTCATGTTGACCTTGTCCAGGTATTGTCATGTTGACCACTTCTTGTCCAGCTATTGTCATGTTGACCATTTCTTGTCCAGATATTGTCATGTTGACCACTTCTTGTCCAGCTATTGTCATATTGACCACTTCTAGTCCAGGTATTGTCATGTTGACCACTTCTTGTCCGGGTATTGTCATGTTGACCACTACTTGTCCAGATATTGTCATGTTGATCACTTCTTGTCCAGCTATTGTCATGTTGACCACTTCTTGTCTAGGTATTGTCATGTTGACCACTTCTTGTCCAGATATTGTCATGTTGACCACTTCTTGTCCAGCTATTCTCATGTTGACCACTTCTTGTCCAGCTATTGTCATGCTGACCTTGTCCAGGTATTGTCATGTTGACCACTTCTTGTCCAGATATTGTCATGTTGACCACTTCTTGTCCAGCTATTCTCATGTTGACCACTTCTTGTCCAGCAATTGTCATGTTGACCACTTCTTGTCCAGATATTGTCATGCTGACCTTGTCCAGCTATTGTCATGTTGACCACTTCTTGTCCAGCTATTGTCATGTTGACCACTTCTTGTCCAGCAATTGTCATGTTGACCACATCTTGTCCAGGTATTGTCATGTTGACCACATCTTGTCCAGATATTGTCATGTTGACCTTGTCCAGCTATTGTCATGTTGACCACTTCTTGTCCAGCTATTGTCATGTTGACCACATCTTGTCCAGATATTGTCATGTTGACCTTGTCCAGCTATTGTCATGTTGACCACTTATTGTCCAGCTATTGTCATGTTGACCACTTCTTGTCCAGCAGATTGTCATGTTGACCACTTCTTGTCCAGGTATTGTCATATTGACCACTTCTTGTCCAGATATTATCATATTGACCACTTCTTGTCCAGCAATTGTCATGTTGACCACTTCTTGTCCAGATATTGTCATGTTGACCACTTCTTGTCCAGGTATTGCTCACATTTTTAAAATATTAATGTTCTCTGGAAGTACACATCACATACTACATTATTCAAAATTTCCTTATAAGGATTGGCTGATATGTCTCAGGTCATTATTTTCTTTAGTCAGTTCCATGTTTGTTTTTTTCATCTTCAATCAGCTAGTGTATTGTGCTGTCCCTTTACAGGTTAGCTTTCCTTGACATAATTTTCCTAGACAAATCCATTTTCCTTATGAAAGCAATATTTACCAAGTCAAAATTCCAAACACATAGTTAAGCTCTGTTAGTTGAATACAACTTTAAACAACAATAAGATCCATTAGCATTACCATATAAAATGTAAAAGAAATACACAACTGTTATGTTCATAAACATCAGTTAACAAAATACAAGGCCCAATAACAAACTAAACATGTGTTAAAAAATTTTGATTACAAACTCCATGCTTTAATTTAAATGGTTTTCTACCTTACAATTCTTTTAAAGGCAATAACATGTAAAATAATGTATGTTAGTAGTCCTCAGTGGTGGTAGCTATACTTTATATCACCGATGCTTAAGTACCAATGCACACAACATAAAAAGTGACAGATTTTGTTAGCCAAAAAAGGAATGTGTAGTGCTAATCAATGAAATTTTTTTTTAAACTGCTGAGGTTGGTGATACAACTAAAGTGGTTAAAAATTATATTGTTACATCCACTAAACCAGGTTATATATGCATGATAACTGATGTTATATATTAAAGCATGAAAGTAAAATCCTTGTACTAGGAGTTTTGATATTTAATATTTTGTCCCTATTTCCTTCAGTAGGTCTAATTTCTTTATTTCCAACCTTAAATCCTAAGAATTCTACTGTATGTACTCCCACATGCAGTTTCTTTCCTTATTCTTTCTAGGAGTTCTTTTAGTGTCTCTATGTGTTCTTGTCTCAACTGCTGCTCCAATTTGACTTGCCCATCTATCTATATCTTCCTCATTACTTTCTTTCACCTCCTTTACATTCCCAATAATCATATCTGCTATTGGTTCTTCCATGACCGCCACTTTATATTTACCTTTCAGCCAAGCAGAATCTATATCAACTACTGCTATCTCACGCTCATCCTTAAATTTCTTGTTGGCATATGTCATTTTTATTATGCCAGGAATGTACTGTTCTGGTCTTACAAGACTTTTCTTAACAATAATGCATGTGCAACCTGAATCTCTCAGACACATTACTCTGGTGTTGTTTACTATAGCTGGGAACATCTTCAGTGTTGTATTGCTTTGTGTAACAGATGCCACTGTCTCTGACCCTTCTACCCCTGCTGATGTCTCTTGATTATTATTTCTACTATTCATATTTTCTCCCCTGTTGTCTGGTCTCATTCTTGGCCGTCTACTTTGATTGTGGAATTCATTTCTACTTTGTCCACTATACTGTCCTTGTCTGTAATAATTACTTTGATTTCTGTAATTATTATTAGGTGCATAGCCTCCTCTGTCATTATTGCTGAGATATGTATCTCTATTTTGTAAGCTGAAACACTCAGACTTTACATGGCCTGTTTTCCCACAGTTGTAACACTCTGTGCTTCTGCTATATTTATATCTGTCTGGTTTCCATCTGGTAGGTGCACTGTTACTTCTATTCCTATTGTTGTTGACATACCTTCTTTGAACCCTGCCAGAGTCTCTACTGTAGACTGCTGCTGAAATCTCTCCCTGCTCTCTTTTGTCCAAAATAGCCCCTGGATGTGCATCCTTATAAATAGTAAGGTGCTCTATTAATTGTTTCTGTGTCCTAACTTTTCTTTCACTCAAAAAAGTGAATAAATTATCTGTTGCATTTTTTAAAACATGATCTATCAGGTTAAGTTCAATAATTGCCTCAGGATTCTTTAAATCTATTTCTGCCAATTCTAGCCTTTTATTCATGTATTTGCGAATATCAAAAATGATCTGGTTTATGTCACCAGTGTTGTTAATTCTAGCATCTCGTTTAGTCTTCCTGTAATAGTCTTCTGTCTTTCCAGAATGTTTCATCAATCTTTCTTTTACTAGGTCATAGTCTTCTTTTTCAGCCTCAGACATACTTGCTATTATGGCAATAGTCTCTCCTGTCAAATTAGTCAATAAAGCCTGTGCCTTCCCAGCAGATGAATAATTAAAACTCTTACATGTTTGCTCAAAGTGTATTAAGTAAGTTTCCACACTTTCTTCCTGTGATTTAAATGCTCGGAATTTAGGCTTCCAATTGTCCGTTTTGTTAACATTGCTGTCTTGAGATTGGTTACTTTTAATTTTGGCTAATTCTAACTCATGTCGCCTCTGTTTTTCTTTGTCTTCGGCCTCTATTTTAACTTTTTCCTTCTCAGCCTCCATTTTAACCTTTTCCTTCTCAGCCTCCATTTTAACTTTTTCCTTCTCAGCCTCTATTTTAGCTAGATCTAGTTCCTTATCAGCCTCTATTTTAGCTAGTTCCTTATCAGCCTCTATTTTAGCTTTAGCTAATTCCCTCTCTAAAGCTCTGTCTTCCCTTTCAATTGCATCAGCTATCTTCTCTTCAACCCATTTAGCTTTTTCTGCACCAGTGTATCCTAACAAATCAGCCAACTCAATGAATTTGGCATAGTCCTCCATCTTAATGGTCTAAGAAAAGTTATATTCCGTTACTAAAAATGTCAACAGTACTAGATCTAATCTAATTCTTTCGTTTATGGTGCGGAGCACCGCTCACTTCTGACACCAAAATGTCACAGGCTTTTCTCCTACCTATTTCATGGCACACACTCAAAACAAAAATCAACCCTTGTTCCTGGAATTTACATAATTTTATTGGTTCATAAGAGCATCGCATTCACTCCCAGACATCGCCATGTTGTTCGCGCCCTCTCTACCTCTCGCTTCCTTTCCTTTCACGCATGCGCACACCCACACTATATTTTTATATTTTTATCTCGCCTTTTTAAGACACACACTCGCAACATACATTCATATACATTTAACTGTTATATTGACCTTGTCCAGATATTGTCATGTTGACCTTGTCCAGGTAATGTCATGTTGACCACTTCTTGTCCAGGTATTGTCATGTTGACCACTTCTTGTCCAGGTATTGTCATGTTGACCACTTCTTGTCCAGCTATTGTCATGTTGACCACTTCTTGTCTAGGTATTGTCATGTTGACCACTTCTTGTCTAGGTATTGTCATGTTGACCACTTCTTGTCCAGATATTGTCATGTTGACCACTTCTTGTCCAGCTATTCTCATGTTGACCTCTTCTTGTCCAGGTATTGTCATGTTGATGGGCCTGTCGTCCTGGGGCCGAGGCTGCGCCCACAAGGGTGAGCCTGGCATCTACGTCAAGATTACCTATTTCCTGCCCTGGATGTGGGACACGATCAATTTATACGACACCAAGTATAGTTAAGAGAAGCTTACAGCAAGCTGATGTATATAAAGTATACAGCACGCACATAGATGTTTTTAAAGTATACAGCACGCACATAGATGTTTTTAAAGTATACAGCACGCACATAGATGTTTTTAAAGTATAGAGCACGCACATATATTTTTGAAATCATTCACCACCCACAGATATTTTTAAAAAATATTCAACCCACAGATTTTAAAAACATACAATGATAAACGTGAAGCCAGATTGCGAGATGTAAAGTATTTGAATCTGTCAGAGACCGCTCGTTAGAATTAAAATGTATGCAGAAATCTCATGTTACCATTCAGTTTAATGTGTGTACTTGACAAGTATGTATAGGCCAATTGTGTAATGGCCAAATGTGTAATGGCCAATTGTGTAATGGCCAAATGTGTAATGGCCAAATGTGTAATGGCCAAATGTATAATGGCCAATTGTGTAATGGCAAGATATGTAATAGCCAAATGTGTAATGAAGAAGTGTAATCTGGTAACTCGAGTGCCGGTCAATGCGGCTCGTTTGGCCGATGTCCGAAGAGCTTAACATTGACAGCGTATTCCTTACATTTGCCGGCCAATGCTCGCACTGGCCGCGTTGTCCTGGCCAATGTGCGATGTAGGCTAGTGTATAATGGTGTTTTAATTTTTTATGCAAGTCAGACAAAGATATCTAATCCCAAGAAAGGTCTTGCTTCCAAACATCTAAAATTGAAATAGTTATACCCTGGATACCAGATGTGCAAAGTAACCCAAGCTCCTATTATTGCAAGCTTTGAACATGAAAAGAGACGAAGTTGCTAACCAGCTGCTTGTCATCTTCACGGCCATTGGTGCTCCAAGTGTGCTTCAATCGGATAATGGAAGAGAATGTGTGAATCCATTTTTTTCTGAACTAAAGAACATGTGGCCTAAACTTCAACCACGGCATAGCCACAGTCAAGAGGTTCAGAACATAGCGATGACATGGATGTAGACCAATGAATCAAGTCAGAACATGGCGATGACATGGATGTAGACCAACGAATCAAGTCAGAACATGGCGATGACATGGATGTAGACCAACGAATCAAGTCAGAACATGGTGATGACATGGATGTAGACCAGGGGTCTCCAAACTACGGCCCGCGGGCCAGATGCGGCCCGCGACGTCCTATCATCCGGCCCGCGGAGATCTTTTTGTCCACGGAAAAAACGTTTGTTGGTGATGGCTGAGGAACTTTGCCCAGAAAAATCAAAGACATGCCTGGAAGAAACTGGCCCCCGAACTGAAATTTGATAGTTAATGCGGCCCTCGGACTGAAAAGTTTTGAGACCCCTGATGTAGACCATTGAATCAAGTCAGAACATGGTGATGACATGGATGTAGACCCATGAATTAAGTCATGGGGCTGAGAGTCTCAAAAGCATTCAATTTATGATAAACCTTCTTTTCATTTGGGATTTCAAAAGTCGCCATACGAAGCCTAGTTTACGTGCACTGCGAACTTGCCACCTGAGCCAAGAGAAGGTGTCTATAACTTTGTGACTGAGGAAGATCTTGTGATCATTGAAATGAATATATAAAATCTTTAGAAAACTAAACATGAAGCCACTTGCAAACAATGAACTAAAACTAATCGCAACTAATAGCTAGACCTAACGAAGCAAGCTAACTAAACAAGCTAACTAAACAAGCTAACTATACAAGCTAACGAAACAAGCTAACGAAACAAGCTAACGAAACAAGCTAACGAAACAAGCTAACGAAACAAGCTAACGAAACAAGCTAACTAAACAAGCTAACGAAACAAGCTAACGAAACAAGCTAACTAAACAAGCTAACTAAACAAGCTAACTAAACAAGCTAACTAAACTTACAAAACTTAACATTAATTAAATACTTAAACTGGCTAATCTGAAAGAAATAAAGCGGGAGTGATCTCCCCTAATCTTTCTCGAATATTCTTATATGGCAAACGGAGATGGCTGCTCGGGATATAGACATTATTTTAAATAACTTTTTAATTGCTTAAACTTTTTAAAATAGAATAGAATGTAATAGGAAATTAAGTTAACCAAGTTAACAGCAAACAATGTGTGTACAATAGTACGGAATATTAGTAGGCCCTACTTTCTAAATTCATGTGCGTTTTTTTTTTTTTTGAGAAACGGAAATTACTCAAAATTGTACAGATAACAGAGAATTCGATCTTTTACTTATATTTGAAATTTCTTCTATCTGAAACAGTACTCAAGCTATAGGCTTTTGAAAAATCAAAAGTAGAATAAGTTCCACTTCCGGTTTCCGGAAATCGCTGAAAAGATGATACAAAACAACAAATTTGATACTACATATATATATATATATATATATATATATATATATATATATATATATATATATATATATATATATATATATATATATATATATATATAACTAAATCAGAGGCGTATCCACGTTTTCGGTGTAGGGGGAGCGGAAATAGCAATAAAAAGGCGCCGAATGTGTAATATCTTCTATATAAGTATATATATATATATATATATATATATATATATATATATATATATATATATATATATATATATATATATATATATATATATATATATATATTAGCTGTATGTTATTGCTTCAATATGATGTAAAATAAATTTAAATTTGCACTCTGAAGAAATAAAAAAAGCACACAATATAGGCCGACGAAACAAAAAAAATGGTATCACCCTAAACAAATATATATATAGATATATATATATATATATATATATATATATATATATATATATATATATATATATATATATATATATATATATATATATATATATATATAAACACTACAACCAAAAACAATGAACGCGGCAAAATCTGTTTCGTAATGCTTGTAAAAAAAATTACATAATAATTCCTGGGACATCTATTAAGACTAGCGAAAAGGGGAAATAATCAATATCTTAAAATAAATATGTATATGTCTACACATTTTATTATAACTATCGAAACAAATCAATAATTACTTTAGAATCTAATAAAGTAGCTTAACACTACTCGTTTTTACAAAAATATTATGTCTACAATCAGAATTAAATATATTGTCATGATAAATGCTAAAGTACTACAGCCTAATGAAAGGTTTTTTTTACATCCGATTCGGTATAAAAGCCAGCTTTTCAATGTAGTAGTAAAACATTCGGAATAATAGCCTACTTATAACTAAATTATCGGTCTTACATTTCAGATCTTGAACTTTTTACTTTCTCGTATATACGAAGTATGGAGAAAGTCTTGTAATCGTGCAAAAAAAACACTGATACGGAAAAACATCATTTTGCAATCTTGTCCGTATGTCTGTGTGTCTGTCTGTGTGTCTGTCTGTCTGTGTGTGTGTAAACACGATAACTTGAGTACCGTTACAGCTAGGTTGATGAAATTTCATATATAAGCATTTTATCAAAATCGTAGATCCGTATCAACTTTTGAGCGATTTCCGATAACCGGAAAAAAACCGGATTAAAAATCATGTCTATAGCCCGAGTTCCCATCCCCTGTTATTTTATATAAAAATATTCGAGAAAGTTTAGGGGAGATCACCCCCGGTTTATTTAATTAGCTACTGACTTTTTGTGTTCTTTAAAAGATAATTTTTTTAACATAATGATAAGGTGTGGGCTAGATCACTGTATTGCTCACACACCTTTTTACTGGTAATTGCAAAAACAATATTCACAGAGATTTACGTTTCGAATGTGCCGACCAAAGATAATTTTTTAACAAATATCAATGTTTAAAACTTTGAGTTTAAAAAGTTTCCAAAAAGGCGCCACTTTGCTAAAAATGGCCAGAGGGGGAGCGTGAATACAATACTTCTATATACTCTGTCTACGAGAAAGTAAAAAGGACGAATCTCGCGATATCTAAAAATAGCGAAAGTATTGTTGGGAGTATGCCAACTCAGAACTTTCGCACCGAAAAATTCCCTGCATTGACTAGAGGAGGGGGGGGGGATGATACCATACATTGACTAGAGGGGGTGGGGGGGGGTGATACCATACATTGACTAGAGGGGGGTGATACCATACATTGACTAGAGGGGGTGGGGGGGGGGGTGATACCATACATTGACTAGAGGGGGTGGGGGGGGTGATACCATACATTGACTAGAGGGGGTGGGGGGGGGGGTGATACCATACATTGACTAGAGGGGGTGGGGGGGGGTGATACCATACATTGACTAGAGGGGGTGGGGGGGGGGGGGGGTGATACCATACATTGACTAGAGGGGGTGGGGGGGGGGGTGATACCATACATTGACTAGAGGGAGGCGGGTGATACCATACATTGACTAGAGGGGGTGGGGGGGTGATACCATACATTGACTAGAGGGGGTGGGGGGGGGGTGATACCATACATTGACTAGAGGGGGTGGGGGGGGGTGATACCATACATTGACTAGAGGGAGGCGGGTGATACCATACATTGACTAGAGGGGGTGGGGGGGGGGGGGGTGATACCATACATTGACTAGAGGGAGGCGGGTGATACCATACATTGACTAGAGGGGGTGGGGGGGGTGATACCATGCCTAACATTAAATAGAGGGGGGGGATGATACCATACATAACGTTGCCTAAGGGGGGGGGTGATACCATACATAACGTTGGTTAGGGAGGGGTGATACCATAACTTATATTGATCAGGGGAGGGGTGACGACTTTGTATATTGGTGTTTGACTACTGTTTTAACAATGAGATGACCCAGACTTTCAATCATTTGTTTGACGGGGTCAACACCTTGATCTATCACAAGATGTGACATCTTCGCTGTTGATTCAATTATAAAGATAAGGATTGCAGCTGTGAGAAAAACTTTAGGACAAAACATGCACGAAACGTTTAGGGCATTGTCCTCCATCGACTGGTGGTGCATCGACCTGGTGTTTTGTAAATCGATTTCAATCTATTAATGCTAGATAATTAACTGGGAATTTACTGACTTAACAAAACAAAATCCATATGTTGTTTTGTATGGTGTAGGGGTGTGGCTGCATCAAGCCCCGCCCAGAAGGCGGACCCTCTCTAGCCCCAACATATAAGTAAGATCCGAGCAGCCCATAGCACTCAGACAGAATGGGAATTTCGGGAGCAGTTCTTTTCCTGTTCGGCAGCTGTGTCGTGACCAGCTCCCTGGCAGACGTACAACAGGTAAAAATAGTTTGCTCCATTTAGCCCCAACGTTTCGCTTCAACGACTCCACTATCTATATGACTTCAAATCTACGACAGTCATCTGACTTCAAT